AGAAACAGAAATAAATGAATTACCATTAACAAGAGCTTCTTTCTTCCAGGATTGTACATTTAAACAGTAAGGTGTGTGCCGCAAACAGGGTTTGTGCCCAAATATCTCTGCTGGGAAATGGGATTCCTTATCCTCTCTCAGGAGAAAACCTGTCTTCTATGCAGCCGACTACAAGCACCTCTCAGGAGAAGCTGTCTGCTCCTCGTTTAGGTTTACAGGAACCTTCGTCATGCTGTGCAGACCATGTACAAAACCGAGGGGCCGCTGACCTTTTACAGAGGATTGACGCCCACTGTCATAGCTGTGTTCCCGTATGCTGGTCTCCAGTTCTCCTCCTACAATATCCTGCAGCAGATATATGAATGGGTGATACCAGCTGAAGAAAAGAAAGCAGGTGAGTGCTTGGGACAGTGACATCTGCAATTATGAAGGAAGAGTCCAGGGGTTAGAGCATTAGCCTAGGACTGAAGAGTTGTTTTTTTCCTCAACCAGACTTCCCACGTGACCTAGAATAAGACACTTAATCTTTGTACCTCAGATCTTACCACAAAAATGGGGTTGATGCTTCCTACCTCACAAGAGGACTGTAAAGTGTTCACGTCATGATGCTGATGGCACAGCCGTACCACAGACACGTGGCAGATGAACTCTTGAATTAAGTCATATAGCCTGTGCTGTGAAAAGACCATGTCAATACAGCCGTTCCTTTGTGTCTCATTTTTGTTATTGCCATGGGCATGGGAGATTCAGCTTCCCCAGGGAAATGCTAGCATCCCAACCTGTTCCCTATCTTTGGCTTGCACAAGAAGATTCATCCAATACAGTTTAAGACACCCCCCCCCCAAGTTGTTTGGGCATTGATCTCCTGCCCCATGACTGTTTTGGGATTTTTAAGCTCATTTCATCCTGATAAAAGCTAATGCCTTGACAGCCCTGGAGACTGATTCTCCCTCTGCCAGAGCCTGTTCAGTGTAGGTATAAATCAGTACAAATTACAGCTGCTTTAGTGCATCACCAAGTGGAGAGAGAACCTTCTGTACGAGAGGACAGTTTGTCCCCTGTGCTCATTCATTCGTAGATGATCGGGGTGCAGTTTTGTGCTGAGGACCTATATCTCTTAGGAAGAGGGTTAAGGCCACCAAACTTGTTTCCCAATGGTTTCTGTACAACCAACAGATGCTGCCAGCATGGAGATATAGGACCCATCAGCCCATTGCTTCTTTTGGATATTGCCACTTGACAGAACAACAGAACAAATCAGTCTTTGAACAAAGGGTGTATTTTTTTAAGAGTCACTCACTCAAACGGAACTATAGGCTTGATGTAGGATTTGCTAGATTAGGATCTATGGGTTGCTTTGTGCAGGGGAACTAGATGATTTTATAGGATATTTCTGGTTTTAATTCACATGTAAATTATTCTAATTTCTTTCCTGTAACACATTTTACAAACAGAAGGCTGGGTAGATTTGCATCTTATAGACCAACTCAATTAAGAGACATATGTAGCACAGGCTTTTGTGAGCTGAGCTCATTTCTGCTTGACTTCAGACTCGCATGGGTAGCCAAGTCTAGAAAGACATTTTATGACTGAGATCTCCATTCTCATCCTGTATTTTCCTCTGTTTCAGGTAACCTTAGAAATCTTGTGTGTGGCAGTTGTGCTGGAGTCATGAGCAAAACCCTCACTTACCCTTTTGACCTATTCAAAAAGCGACTACAGGTGGGAGGGTTTGAGCAGGCACGGGCAGCCTTTGGACAGGTGAGAGGTGTTTTGATCCACTGGTTTTCATGTATTTGGGTTTAGGTCAAGAAATGTACATGGTCACTGGCATCTGTTGTTGAATGGGTCTCCATTGAGTCCCACTTTGGGCTCACTACAGGAATGTCTGACTTGTTTGCAGTATGCCGTGAAATAGACTTTGAATAGGTTCCCATATATGAGGAAGTCATTGTTCCAATTAAGCATTTTCCTTGATTAAGAGAAAAGATGATTTTTTTACTCCCCACAGCATTTTACTGAATTTCATGTGTCTTAAGAATTTTTTAAAAGGGAAAAAATGATCCTGACTTAGAAATGACAAAATCAAGAAGGCTAATTTTTGCGTGTGTGTGTGTGTGTGTGTGTGTGTGTGTTAAATAGGTGTTGCAGTTCTGAACTCCAGTCTTCTGTCTTGTTGTGATATGCTACCTAATTTATTGGTTGAATGCAGAATTTTTGCTAGTCCTGCTAAAAAAAAAAAAAAAAACCCAAACCCTAGCAGTAACTGCCCTTTTACTAGTGGAATACGTTGACATCCCAACTTGGACCACATCATGTCTGTATAACAGCGATAGGCTGAGCACTTCAAAAGGACCTAATGTACCCATCCTCCATGGACCATAGTGAGATAGCCAAGAGATACGCTGCATCTCTTTTGCGCCTTTGACTAATTGGCTTGCACTCTTCTTTCTAAAAGTCTCCAGAGAGATGTTAGACAAAGTGTGTGGAGGGACTTGATTTTACTTTATTCTTTTATTTGCTGGTGGGTATCTGTGTGTCAAGATACATTTTGCTATTGTGCATTTCAGTTTATGGACTAGATACCCATTGGTCGGGATGTGTGCCTACAGACTTTATACATCTGAATAAAATACCTTTCAAGTCTCTTAGCATCTTGAAATGAACCCTTGTATTAAAAAAAAAAAAAAGAGAGAGAGAAAGTAGTGAAGAAAGATGACTTTTCTGCACCAAATAAGGAATTTTCCGTCCCTCCAACTTGCTTTCATCTTGGGCGTGGATCAGGCAACACCCAGTCTTTAAAGCATTGACAGATTTAAGGCTGCTGTGTCAGGAATCCTTGGGGCAAGAAATTTGCTGTCTTCTTCCATTGCATTGCTACTGGGAATCTTTTTTCCAGTGAGAAACAGAACTCAAAGAAGCACTGATCCTACTGCTGATAGGTCCTGAGATGTTGGGCCATGACACTGTGATATGAAAATCGGTTTTCTGCTAGTTCATTTAAGGTTCTTAGTATTTCAGTTAAACTGTTTTCACCTTCAGAAGCCTGAAGAATTGTACTCATGTTTCCAAAACAAGGCTGGCTTTAGAGAGGAAAGGAAAATGATACCGGCACACTGATTCAGTCACTATTCAAGCTCAGTCATGTAAACAGCACGTGGTGATATAATATAAAGGTTTTACCGGCATGTGGTTAAAATGACTTGCATAAGTTGCTGTGGCAGATGATGTATTCTGTAGCTGTGGTTTCTGCAACTACAGATCCTCTCTGACATTGCCCATCAGCAAATATCACTTGATCCAAAGTCTGTGTGTTTTTGATGCAGCCTTTGGCTTTCTCCTAGGTTCCCCCTCCCTTCCCTTGGTGTGTGGCATATGTTACAGGTGGGTCCAAAAGAACCCTGCTTGGGTGGGCCTAGCTTGTGCTACTGCTCACGTCATTCTTGCGTCTTCTCCCTAGGTGCGGACTTATAGGGGTTTCATGGACTGTGCTGCGCAGATTGTGCAAGAGGAGGGACCCAGTGGATTCTTCAAGGGTTTGTCCCCCAGCTTGCTGAAGGCTGCTGTTTCTACTGGCTTCACCTTCTTCTGGTATGAGCTCTTCTTGAACCTGTTCTGTGCCCTGAAGGACCCTGAGGCAGGGGGGCTGAAGGGGACATGACTTACCTGCCGTGGTTGCTTGGTGGAGGAGCAAGACTAGTGGTGTCACATGGAATATGGGGGGGCGGGGGGGCAGGCCCCCCCTGCCAAAGCTCTGAACGCACATCTCATACCTCTGGAGGAAAATGGTGCTTGGCTCTAACCAAAGGACTGCAGGTGACCACGGCCTGTCATGGACAATCAGTCTGGTTGCTTGAAGTTGTTACACTCGACACTTTTTGCGTGCCTCCCATGGCATTGGCACTTACCTTGGGAGAAAAAGAAATGGCATTACTACCTATGGCATTCTCTGAAGAGGGATTGGATGAAGTGGGTGAAATCCCAGCAGTGATTACAGAGACCTGCCTTGCTTAGCTTGTGCTGCTTAACCAGTGTCAACGAGATCTTCAGCTCCCAGCTTGAGGGTCTATCACTTGACTTATATTCCCTCTCTCTGCTGTACAGGTAGCAAAGCTTGTGTGAAGATGTGCACTCTCTCTACGATCTGCAGTCATCCTCTGTCCCTTCTGTTTGCCACCCTCTCCTCCTATCCACTGATACTTGCTTGCTTCACATCTTCAGCCACCTCACACACTGTGTTTGTGCCTACCTAGACCAGCTCTTCTTGGAATTGGTCAGCTTTATTGTTTTTTCTGAGCCTCCCTTACTCTGCCTGCATGTTCTAGGCATCATTAGGGTTTTCTTTTGCCATTGTAACATTTTCATAGACAGGCGAGCAGCTCTAACTCTTGCTGCTCTCGGGAGGGAATCTCCACCCACATTCCCATTTTAGCTTCTCACGGGGCTGTGCTTTGGTATTGGACTGCAGCGATGAAACAGTCCTGCAGAGATTTTTCAGACCCAGAGTTTCACTTACTTTAAAATGAAGGAAAGTCCTGTGGATGTTCTTATATATAGACATACATGCATACATGCTTATATATAGAGAGAGATACACGTGCGCACACATGCACATGTACAAATATGATTTATTGCTTGCTCTGTATTTTTAGACAATGTTTTTGTGGAGCCAACAAACACATTTTTGGCCCACTTGCAAGCACAGCTTTAGCCTAAGTTACTTTGCAGTGCTGCTTAGATAAGGCAACTATTCTGGCAAGATGAGGCTCATTTGAGGCTGAATGAACGGGCTTGTCAGTGTCAGATCAAGTTAAATCAGTGTGTGATAAACAGAAAAGGGCTGAAGTTGGTAGGAAGGAAGTGCACTTCTGAAGCTTCAGCTAGTTTTATGGGTAGAACTGATTTATGTAATAGCAAAATGACTGTGTCTTTGCTTCATCCTGTTGTCTGCTCAGGCTAAGCAGGGTGGGGCTGACTAGCATTTGGATAGATCTGTGGGGAGAGCCCACAGTGCTACAAAAAACCCGACTGAATCAGTGAGTGACTCAGAGGGTGTGGCCCCAAGGCCTCTGTGGGATCAGACAGCGCTTTATTACTCTCCAGTAACAGCCAGTACAGAAGCCATAAATACTTCTGGTTCTATGCACCTTGGGTCACTTTTTGTTATACTGGGGGTGCTAGTCCCAGGGACTTGGCCAGATTGCTGCATGAGCAAATCCATCCCACTGATCCCCACTCCCTTGGCAATTCCAGTTGTGCATGAGTCTTACTCTTGTCCTGAGCTGTTGTTGTGGGGGTACTTTACTTGTCTCCCTCCACCCCCACTACTAGGTGGCATTACGTCGGGGACAAGTGACGCACTGCTCTCGTTCTTGTGCTACCCAGAAGTGGTACAATGCTTCGTATGTCAGGGGCTCTTGCATCATCTGCCCACGTGTTAGAGGAGTGCAAAGTAGCTAATCCCTGCAGCTGGCAGAAGCAGTATCTGCAGGGCCTTATGGAAAATCACAGAGGATGCTGACATATGAGCCCGCGGTGGGAAGTGGTGCACATGTAGAGATGGAAGTGACGGCACCACTTAGAGGGGGCCTTCCCTGAGCCTGGAGAAAGTCCTCGAATGGCATTTTCAACAGTGCCTACACCCCTCTGATGTTTTCCAGCTATGCCCAATGTCCCTAGCCTTGGTATAAATTGCAATCTGTCCTTCTCTAGCATCTTTAGCCTGTAGCCTCTGGAACGTGTGACACCTGCTAATGATCCTGACCATACAGTATCCCTGGTGATGTAGAGAGGCATTATCTTCCCTTCCGGAGCATGGGAAATTGCAACTGTCCCTTCACTGTCTATGGTTGGGAAACAGTGGGTGAAGTGAAGGGAGGAGACAGACCGCAGCAGCGCATCTTCCCGTTATCTCCATGTTACCAGGCCTGTCGGGAATATAAACACTCCATCCACCCCTTTCAGAAAGCTTTTCTTTTCTTTTCTTTCCCACCATCCTCCCATAAGCTCATGTAAAGCCCCTCTGTAGCCATGCAGATGCACAGTAGATCTGACTGGGAGTGACAGGAGTTGAAGAGTCAAGGGTCTTTTCTGCCTTTGGTCATCGGAGTCGTGGAATTGCAGAGCTCCTGCCCCCCCCTTGGGGAAAGTTGTTCTTCGAGTGTGTGGCTGGGTCTGGAGACAGGCCTGGGAACTGTCAGAGAGGCTGAGGCTGGTTTGTTGTGTGAACACCACCGCTGCTGCACACAGGGCATTGGAGCAGAAAACGGGAAGTTTGGAGCAGATCTTCCTCTTGAGAAATGTTCTCGGATTCTCTGTGCTGTGCATTAAATGACCCATCTTGAGTTGTCATAGTGCCTTGCCCAGAAGAAAAGGCAAAGAAGTTGGAGTCCTTTGAGGCACTTTGTGGTGCATTTTTGATCCTGTGTGTGTGCTGATGCAGCTCTGGGCTGGGTATGGGGCTCTGAATGGGCAGAGAGCCTTTACGCTGATCCTGGCCTCTGGTGGAGGGGGCAGGGGATGAACAGCTTCAACCTTAGGGTGAAAAAGTCATGGCAGAGAGTTACTTCACTACCCGCCTGCTTGCCCACATTATCTGGCTTTAGAGCCTGTCTTCAAAGTGCCCATTGCTAGTCTTTAAATATGAGTCACAAAAGCAGCACCTCCCATTAGGTAAAAGAGATGTTTGACTCCATATGAAAAATTAGCAGTGTAGGTTTTACATTTTGGTGCTGACGAGCTTTGCCAGATCAGTATCCCTAAAGCTAGAATAAGAAGAATGGGAGATGAAGATCTGTGAGGTCACCCTCTTCGTCCCACCTGCCTTCGCAAAACTGTTCTTAGAGAGTATGTACCCACATTGAGGCCAGTTTCAAGTAGGGTCCATGCCACCTCCCTGGTGAGTCTAACCAGTAGCAGCAATTGGGATTGTATTCCAATATAATCCTACAGGCGGGGATTGGCTTTGTCTGAAATTCAGCCCACCAGCTGCTCAGTGATTGCCTGGGTCTTTTCTAGTGCCTTTTGCCAACACATTCAAAAGCACTTTACTAGGTCGAGCATTACATGCTGATTGAACAGTGACTGTTATGATACCTACAGCTGCACCTAAACAGTCTTGAATGGTAGAGCTCTACGCACAGACGTTCACTGGATACGGTGCCCAACTGATCTGATAAATCCAGTGGTTTCCCAGTGTCAGCATGTGATTCTTTTTTTTCATGTAGCATTGACTAGTTATCAAGACTACATGTACTGTAGCACATGCTTCTCAGGATGGTGGAAAGCACTGAATAGGTTGCTTTAGCGAAAGAAATACCTGCTCCAAAGTGGGTTCTTTTCCCTTTTGGTTTGAAGGCCTTTCCCTTCTGCAGCTTGTTTCTCCATTGTCTGAACAGACTTTTCCAGCTGCAATAGTCCTTAGGTTTCTGACCTGAAGCAGGTTTTCTCGATGCACCTAAAGCACGTGCCATTTCTAAAACATTAAATATTTTTATTACATCCATATCTGGCTCACGTGTCTTTCGTCTCTTCACAAATACTTGAATGCATGCAACAGGATGATGAATTGGACTGTGTTAGACAAGCAAACCTTTACTAAGGGCCCCCTGTTCACTGCAGTCACAACATAATTGAAGCCCAAAGAATATGAGTGCAGAACCAACCAATGTGGTGTTAGTGACTTTGTCATTAGAGGGCAGCATTGCCCTTCCCGAGGCAAAATGACATTCCAGCTATTCATCACAGCACAAACAGTGATTATCCAGGCTGATTTGCACTGGCCTGGTCAATCCATGGGGCATGAGAGGACCTGTTGGAGCAGCCACTGTCTGATGCAATTTGCAGATTCATGGTAGATCAAGTTGGAACTTTGTCTGTACGTGTCCAGATCCCAATGTCTCAACTGGATTGGAAGCTGCTCATTCTGTGTTCATTCCAGCTCCTGGGTCAGCATCAAAACTGCTGCACTTGATCTAAAGACACGCTAAGGAGTCAGGCCCTGCATTCCTCGCATATGAATCATGAATGATTGAGAGCATGAGGCGTCATGTATGTATAAAGCACGCAGCAGGTCAGAGACCTCATTAAGATCACTTAGTGACCCTGTTAAGATGAGCTGGTATTATGCCTTTTTCCCTTCATACGTTTTCCCCCCATTCGTGTACTTCTGCTGTCTTAAAACAAAATACCTGGTGTTTTCCTCTTGTAAGTAAGCTCCTAGTGCCACTGCCTGAGCATGCCTGAGGTGCTCTGCAACATGCTCAGGGATTTGTCTGGCTATTCAGGAGAGAGAACAGAAAAGCAAAGGGATTTCAGTTCCAAGTTTCAAGGGCAGTGACAAGCCATGAAGGGAGAACACAGCAGCAAACCTAAGATGCCCAGTTCTTTACTTGCAAGCAAACCCTGGACCTTCAAGTGGAGCATTTGAGGCTGTGGCATTTTTTTAAAAATTTCTGTATTCCAAGCCAAATTTGCCAAATCCATGAGTCAGTCCAGAACCATAAGTGGCCCTACTACCAGCAAACATCCTCCACCCACATCTGGGGCTTCAGATGTTTCCAAATCCTTTGGCAGGCATCCTACTTGCAGGCCCAAGCCCAGAGGGCTTTTCTCCCCCTTACTAGGAGATCTGAGGGATAGCCAGCACGGGTTTGTTGCGGGTAGGTCTTGCTTGACCAATCTCATTTCCTTTTATGACCAGGTGAACTATCACCTGGACAAGGGGGAAGAGATTGACATGGTATACCTTGACTTCAAAAAAGCCTTCGATCTGGTATCCCACGATCACCTCTTGGCTAAACTGTCTAACTGCAGCCTTGACATCACCACGATCCGCTGGCTGGGGAACTG